AAGTCCCAGGGGGCCTGGCGGCGGGCGGAGACCGGAAGAGGCGGGCTCGGCACCTCGAGGCCGGAAGTGGCCTTGGAGGCGGAAGTGGCGCGGCCGCGGAGGGGCCTGGAGTGTGGCGGGACCGGGAGCGGCGGGAGCTGCGACTGGGGGTGGCGGCGGTGCGCTGGAGGCGGCCATGGCCAAGCAGTACGACTCTGTGGAATGTCCGTTTTGCGATGAGGTCACCAAATACGAGAAACTTGCCAAGATCGGCCAAGGCACATTCGGGTAAGATTAGGCCGCGTGGAGCCGGGAGCTCAGGACCTATACTTTCCAGGGCAGACGTCGTAATGTCCGGGGCCCGGGTCGAGGTGGCCCGGAAGCTTCTATTTCCCTGGTTGTTGCCTAGTCCCGCTAGGCCGCACCGCAGACCGTCCCGGCCTAACCCGAGCGGACTAGCGGGGAGGAGCCTGAGGCCCGGGATGGGGGTGGGGTAGGGTTCCCGAGAGGCGCTCAGAATGTGAGCGGAATCACTCCTTGGGGCGAAGCAGGGCCCGAGGGGCGAGCACCGAGGCTGGAAAGGAGTCGGAAAACACGAGGTGCAGAGTAGCGGCGTGCCGGAACCGCAGGCCGCGCCCCGCCGTGTGTCTAGTCTCCTGCTGCCCCTCTTCGTGTGGGGGAGGGGCGGGCCCTGCGGAAATGCCTGATGGGCTCTCTTGGGTCTTTCTCTGTGCCTGCAGGGAAGTGTTTAAAGCCAAGCACCGTCAGACGGGCCAGAAGGTGGCTCTGAAGAAAGTGTTGATGGAGAATGAGAAGGAGGGGGTGAGTGGCCCACTGGGCACGCCTTCCAGACTGGGTCGGGTTTCCGTACTGCTGCTCTAAAGGCTTTTGTGCTGATATTATGTTTATGCCTAGTATTTTCTGATTTTCCATGTAACAAGGAATTTAGCTTTCCATTTTCAGTTTTAAGTGGCAAAGTTTGGCGGGGGCCAAGTGAGGGAGCCTAGACATTGCATGCAGTGCACGTTGATTCTAAAAGTCAAGCGTTTAAAACACCGTTAGCTTTGCCTTTGCTTTTTGTTTTGTGTGAAGAAACAATGGGTGCACAGGAGTTTTAAAAGGTGACTAAGTTCAAGGCTATGTTTTGAAACAGCCAGTGGTGGTGGTGGTGCATGCGCTTGGGAGGCAGAGGCAGGTGGATCTCTGTGAGTTCGAGGCCAGCCTGGTCTACAGAGTGAGTTCCAGGACAGGCTCCATAGCTACTGAGAAACGCTGTCTTGGAGGAAAAAAAGGAGGAACACATGCTGTCCTTCTTAACCCACGAGTGTTAGTGACAAAGATGTTATCCCTGTTTGGATTGTCTAAAATAAATTCCTAGCCCAGCATAGATAGAGGCTTATGATCATGATCCCAGCACTCAGGCTGAAGGACACAAGTTCAAGGCCAGTCTGATCTAAGTGGTAAAATCTAGCAGCTTTTTGAGGTGTTCTCGTTATTTCACTTACTTTGTACTTTGCAGAAGTTGACTGCAGGTCTTTACATTGTGTATATGTGCAATATATGTGTATGACTTCTCTCTCCCTGCCTCTTGAGGCAGGATCTCAGCTATGTAACCTGGCTGGTCTTGAACTTGGCAGTTCTGCCGTCTGTGACTCCTGGGTAATGGGATTGGATTACAGACAGGAACCACCATACAGAAACCATATTCTCACCCTGCCTTTCAGCCTCTGTTCCCTAGTGTAGACTCCCCATTGACCAGCTCCTTGGTGTATTGCACAGTTCTGACCACTTCCTCTTCTTTCTCCCTAGTTCCCCATCACAGCCTTGCGGGAAATCAAGATTCTGCAGCTCTTAAAACATGAGAATGTGGTCAACCTAATTGAGATCTGTCGAACCAAAGGTATGTTGCTTGGGTCTTAGGAGCAGAGGAAGCAACTTTGCACCTTTGTTTGCACCCCTGGAGTGGATGTGCTTACATTGCCTCCTCCCGACTCAGATTTAACACACGGCTTTCTGGTTTTTTCCCATTGGGTTTGGTGCTTTTCATGGACACTCCTAGGTGTGTGGGGGCTGAAGGGTTGGGAGTTGACTGTGGGAAAGTGAGTGGGCATAGGTCTTTACCTTTTCCCTTGTCCATTCTGTGTCAGCCTCCCCCTATAACCGGTGCAAGGGCAGTATCTATCTGGTGTTTGACTTCTGTGAGCATGACCTTGCTGGGCTGCTGAGCAACGTCTTAGTCAAGTTTACGCTGTCTGAGATCAAGAGGGTGATGCAGATGCTGCTGAACGGCCTCTACTACATCCACAGGAACAAGGTTGGGACTGTCGGGGGTAGACTGGGGTTGCCCCTGTCCTCTGCTCTTAACTGCTTGTGGATGATACTAAAGGACCCTGTGGAAGCTGACGGGCTCTCGTGTCTCCCTGCAGATCCTGCACAGAGATATGAAGGCTGCCAACGTGCTCATCACCCGGGACGGGGTCCTGAAATTGGCAGATTTTGGGCTGGCCCGTGCATTCAGCCTAGCCAAGAACAGCCAGCCCAACCGCTATACCAACCGAGTGGTGACATTGTGGTACCGGCCCCCGGAGCTGTTGCTCGGTGAGGACTCCCGAGCGGGCAGAGGGGGGCAGGGGCCGGGTACCTACCTGGCCACAGCCTCCATTGCCAGGGCCTCCTGAGTCATAAGCCCTGGGACCTTGAGTCTCGGGGAGCCCTCGGGCTTAAAGGACCCTCCTGGTACACTCTTCTTCTCAGGAGAGCGGGACTACGGTCCGCCCATTGACCTGTGGGGTGCAGGGTGCATCATGGCAGAGATGTGGACTCGCAGCCCTATCATGCAGGGCAACACGGAGCAGCACCAGCTTGCCCTCATCAGCCAGCTCTGTGGCTCCATCACCCCGGAGGTACGTAGCCAGGCTGTGGTCCTAGGAGTGCAGAGTTCCAGGTCCCTCTGGCCAGTGGTGGAGAGTGAAGTCCTTTGTGGAGAAGAGGCTGGTTGCTGGAGAACCTGCTGTTCCGGGCCTTATGGGCCTTATCTCTCCTTAGCCTGTTCTATGGGCTTGTCATGTTCGCTTCCTATTGCTGCCACAGTACCGGGCAACAAAGTGGAAAGATTTGTTTTTGTTCATGAATTTTAGCCCATGGTTCCATAGCCTTTGCTTTGCTGCTGAGATGCTGCTAAATGTCATGGCAGAGAGGAAGCAGGAGAGCAGGGACCAGTGCAGTAGCAAACTGACTTAACACCAAACGATATTTGGTGAGCCTCGGCATTTTTCCCATTTGGCTTCCACCTCCCTAAAGTTTGCACCAGCTCGGGGTCAAGCCTTCAGAGGCAGTTTGAAGCTTTTCTTGTTGGACAGGAATGTGCCTAGCAGGGGCTGGCGCATTTATTCCAGGTGACTTGTATAGGTGCCCAGATGCTAGGAGTGTGTCACATCTGGTCTGACAACTGTTTTCATCTTGAAGGCATCTGATTCTTTGTGGGGGGTAAACAAGGAGCATGTGGAAGAAGTTGTTTTAGCAAATCCATGCCTCTGGCGTTTTAGATGATCATTCTCACTCCAACTCCATTCTCTCCTCGACACCTCTCAGGTGTGGCCGAACGTGGACAAGTATGAACTCTTTGAGAAGTTGGAACTGGTCAAGGGCCAGAAGCGGAAGGTGAAGGACCGCCTGAAGGCCTATGTGCGCGACCCCTACGCTCTGGACCTCATTGACAAGCTGCTGGTGCTGGACCCTGCACAGCGGATTGACAGTGATGATGCCCTCAACCACGACTTCTTCTGGTCAGACCCCATGCCCTCAGACCTGAAGGGCATGCTCTCTACTCACCTGACGTCTATGTTTGAGTACCTGGCACCACCACGACGGAAGGGCAGCCAGATCACCCAGCAGTCTACCAACCAGAGCCGAAATCCAGCTACTACCAACCAGACAGAATTTGAGCGTGTCTTCTGAGGCGGACGCTAATGTGTTTAGGTTGGTGGTGGATTATGACTTGCATGGGACATGTGACATGATGGGACGTTTGAGATTTTTCTCCTCCAGTATTTACTCCCCACCCTGGGCACTGGGAACAGCTGCCTGAGTGGGCCAGAGTGGAGCACTGACCTTGAGACCTAGAGGGCGCCAGGGCCAGCCTGCTCGCACCTCTCTGGAGGATCTCGGCATGGACAGGAAGTGAGGTGGGAGAGGCTTACCCACTGTGACTTTCTAAGAACTTCTTGCACGATGGGAGGAGGACACAGGCTGCTCACCATTCCCAGCCCTGCCTGGGGATGAGAAATTTGAGGGACAGAGGCACCTCAGAAATGGGCTAGTTTTAGCACAGACCTCAGGAGCATGGGGCTGCTGAGAACTATTGGTTTCTTCAAAAGGAGAATTTTATTGTGTGTTCAGTTCAGAGACATTCCTGGATGCAGTTTGATTGGTTAAAATTAAAAGTTGATTTTTTTTTTTCACTAAGAGGCTGTATTTTCTGCAGTTTGGCCCTCAGCTCTTGTCCCAGGACACTGTCAGTCTTGATTCTGTAGATACTCTTGTTCTCCCTCCTGAGTACCTCCCACCCCCCAGAAGGCAGATCCGCAGTGCCCCATTGTCCCGTGATCTACAGTGATTGTGAGCAGCTGGGCCAGGGCTGCTTTGGCTATAAATTCTCAGACTTGACTCATGAGCAAGACACTGCAGACTTTTAAGTCCCTGGAGTGACGGAGGAGTGACGGCTGGAGCTGGTTGCTACAGGGCTTGTTTTATGTCTGGGGACCTCCGTCTCCTTGGAACTCACACTCCAGTAGGTCCAAACGAATCTAGTGAAGAGCTGGGGAGATGGCTCAGTCAGTGACGCCATCAAGTGTGAGAGCCCGAGTTAGACCAGCATCTCATACATGAAACACTTCTTACCAATGACCCAAGCACTAAGGCGAGGGTGGGAGGGCATCTGCGGCTTGCTGGCCCGTCAGGCTGAATCAGGAATTTCCAGGTTCAGTGAGAGACTCTCAGAAACAGTTGAGGTTACCTGTCAGCCTCCGGTCTCTACACACTAGCACACACATGTAAACATTGCACACACACACCCACAAGCTTCAGTGTGAACATATGTATCCACTATACATACATGTCCCCAAAATGTAGAATGCGAGGAAGTATCGAGCCATGGAGTAGAAACAAAAGCCTTAGGCTGGTGAGGCTGGAACAGGCACAATGGCCAGGGCCACAGCCTTCTGAACTTGTGTTTGGCTCTGTCTGCCCGTGTGTCTGTGTTTCCTCATTTGCTTAATGTTTTTCCTACATGGTAAAGCAGAAAGCAGGCCTTAACTCTGAGCTGGGCTGCTGAAATAGCTCAGTGGGTGAAAACACCTGACCAAGCCTCATGAACAGTTCTAGCCCAGCAACCCACACGGTGAAAGAACTGATTCCTGTAGGCTGCAGGTTGTCTCTGACCTTCGGGTAATGCTATGTGATGGACATACAACATATGCACACATGGAAGTTTTTGTAAAATGCCTGAAGCAGATGGCTCCAAGCTTTCCCCCTACCCCTAGGGAGGAGCTGGGCCTGCTCCATAGTCCAACCCTAATGCCCCACGTGATGGGTGTTATTATCTGTGGAGGGAGTCTTTCCAGCTCTTAGGCTGTGCCAGCCCTGTGTGCTAGTGTAGACATACAAGACTGAGTTAGGGAAACACTAGGAAGGTCCTGCACTTTACAAGGCCTCTTCTCTAGTGGTCAAGGTCGCTCATTCCCATGCTGCACCTGCATTCCCTTGTCTTGCTCCATTAATCTCTGCCAAGGAGGACAAGAGCCAAATGGGTCCTACGAGGGGAGGTAGGACAAGGAGGGCTAAGAGGCCAGGTGGAGCCAGTCTCATCCGGGCGGGAAGGCCAACCCCTGCACTTGGACTTCTCCCAGATAGCCCTCCCTCCCAGCCTACCCCCTCCTATTGCTCACCTTTAACCTCCAGGTAGTTGTTCTTTAACCCACAATGGAAGCCCAGTTCAACCTGGAGTGGAGACACCAACTGGGACAGCCCAGGAAGGTCACTGGGCTGAGCTTAGGATGGAAGCAGGAACCTACCCCTGGTGGAGAGACTAAGAGGCTGGGTCGAGCTGACTTGGCCAGAGGCACCTCTGCGAGTCACCTGTGGGAACAGGGAACCAAGTGATGAAAAGTGCCAGATGCCTGCCCTTGCCCTGGCCTGTAGCTGAGAAGTTGTGGGAAGCAACCATGGCGTGGAGAGGTCCACCAGGGAGTGCTCATGCCCATGAAGCTAAAACCGCTTCCTTCCAGGTAGGAGATCCCAGAAACCTCCTTGTGGTTGCCTTGTCTTGCTTGCTTGTGGATAAATAGGCCTCCAGCTGCAGTAATCACTGCAGCCCCCAGGGAAAGGCCATGTCACCAGGGGCCCTCTCCTGAGCATATGTTAGGAAACCCTCTCACTGCATAGCTCATCTCTCTCCAGGGACCCTCAGAAATCCTGCCCAGTGTATCACCAGGTGAAACTGGGGTCTCAGGGCCTTGGGAGCAGAGTAACACCTGTTTTAAGACACCCAAGGTCAGGTCCCCGCTGAACAGGTGACTGCTGTGACCTAAGAGCATGGAGCAGGTGGGGCAAGAGTCAGGTAGAGTCTGGGGTGGAGCCTGGTTGACTCCCTATAAATGACTAAGCCCCTGCTGCTTTGTCATCTTCCCTGGGAAATGGGGCTCAGAACACAACCTCCTCAGAAACAATCATGTGGGCTAAATGAGACACACTCATCCAGAGCAGTGCCAGGTCTAGAAAGAGCTTGTAGCCAGGTGGTGGTGGTACACACCTTTAATCCCAGTACTCGGGAGGCAGAGGCAGGTGGATCTCTGAGTTCGAGGCCAGCCTGGTCTAGAGAGGAAGTTCCAGGACAGCCAGGGCTACACAGAGAAAGACTGTCTCCAAAAACAAAGTGCAGGCCAGTGCAGGGTAAACTGATTGAACAGGCCACACTACAGCTTCCACGACAAGGTTCTTCTCTCTTGTTTGTTTCTGTTTGGTTTGGTTTGCCTTTTAGTTTTTCTTTTAAATTTGATTTTGTTGGGGGGGGGGAGATTGCAAGAGCAGAGGGCAGATGTGAGGGCTCTAAAAGATAAATGGGACTGGAAAGTATGATGAAAAATCCACAAAGAATCAGTAAAAATTAAAAAAAAAAATGGTGTGGGCCAGGGATTCAGGGATGATGCTTTGCTTCCCCTGTCCCGCCCCCCCCCCCCCCCCCCAACTCATTCTCACAACCAGGCTGACCTTGAACTCACAGGGATGGGCCTGCCTCTGCCTCACTAGTGCTGTGGGGCTAAGTTGTCTTCAGCGTAGGTACCCTAAACCGCTGAATCATCTCCCCTGGCCCAGAGAACTATTTCTTTTGAAATGGTAATACAACCACGTTTCAAAATCCCAAAGGTACAAAAGGTTGACATCAAAGGGAGCAAATGTCCTGCAGTGTCACCTTTGAATGTTGCAGGGCAGAGGGACAGACCAATGCGGAGACCCCACAATCTGTCATTTCCTGTGTGAGCCTGGACCAGTACCTCTTGTACCTCAGTTTGCTGCTGTGTGTAGTGAGGATGATCGTCATGCTGTCTGGGCTGCTAAAGGTTAAGCCATTGGCGCCCAGTGATCGCTGAGAGGGACCATCAGCAAAAGGGGCCTGGGTGATGGTCCAAGTCGGTAGGATGCTGAGCTTGGAGTTTATCCTAAGGGCTGTGGACCTTACAAGAACTGAACTACCCTGAGAGTGAGAATTTTCAGGGGGCAGCGGACGGGCAGCAAGAGGACTGTCAGATGGACCTGGAAGGGAAAGAATGGACTCTGGAGTCTTTGAGGGAGGAGGGAGCCTGGAGATGGGTGGGGCTTGGCATAGGAACCCAGGGTGAGACCTGGCTGGGTCTCTGAGTGGCTCCACAGATAGAGGCTTTTCAGCTGGGTTGGCCTGGGCCAGTTTGTGCATGCTTCTGCAATTCCAGAAGGCAGCTGCCTTGAGTATGGCCAGTTTAAGACACTGCGGCTATTGTGGGTAAGAGGCCAGGAGGCTGATGGACAGTCATGTCTGTGGCACTGTGAAGTTATCACAGACCTGGGACATAGGATACCAGTGTGGCAGAGAGGCCTGAAATGCCAAAGAACAGAGTGAGGCCAACAAACTGGACCCTTAGCACAGGAAGGAGAACAGGTGGCTGCAAGCCCAGAGAAAGGGGGCTTCGTGTGGCACATTTACTCATGTCACCAGCTCTGTGAGATGAGGCCCAAAGGGTTCTGAGATGCGCCAATTGTCTCCTCCAGTTGTTCTAGAAGGCCTGATTGCAGGACCAATGGAAGTCCGTTTTTCAGTTAATGGTTGCTGAGGGAGGGGAGGCAGCCATGGCTCCTGGAACATCATGTTCCCATAAATAACCTTAGTTAAACTCTCTGGTCACCAAAATAAATAAATACATAAATAAAAATGTAAGAATGTGAGGACTGGAGAGACGGCGCACTGGTTGAGAGCACTGGCTGCTCTTCCAGAGGCCCTGGGTTTGAGTCCCAGGACCCACATGCAGCCTTCAATCATTTGTGACGACAGGAGAGTTCGCTCTTCTGACTTCCTTGGACACCAGGTCCATGCGCAGTACATAGACATATGTGCAGGCAAAACAGCCATACACATAAAATAATTCAAAAGATTAAAGAGATGAGAGTAGAAGGGGCTTAGGTTGGAAGAGGGGTGGAATGGGGAGTTGTGGGGGGACAAGAGAGGAAAAAGGGGAGGATAAAATACACTATATACATGTTTGGAGATGTCATAATGAAACCCATTATATATAGTTAACATGGTTTAAAAAAAAAGGCTTGTTTTTGATTTAAAGGCCCCATTGCCCTCCTCTGAAGCAAATTGAGTCAGGTGTGGAGCATCCCTATCCTCTAAGTGTTGGAGATGGAGGCCAGCCTGGGCTACATGGGACCCTGCCTCATAACAGAACAATAGTTAACTCCTTAGTGTCCACGGCAAAGTTAGGCTCTGACCCTTAGAGGGGGCCTGCCAGGGAAGCTCTTTAAGGATGGAGTCTCTGTAGGTCATTGGTGTAGATGTTGGAACGTGGAGGATCCTTCTCTGTGCCAGGGGGTACAGAGGTGCACCCCACTTCGGAATGCTAGACGTCTGCACCACCTGCTGTTAAGTTTGGATGTCCTTGTTCCTTGTAGCAGCCCAGGTGTAGAGTCCCCGGTGAGGAAGGGGTGGCTGGACCTCCTCCCGTAGACCTCATCCTGCTGTGGAGGAAACTGATCAGAGACAGGGCAACTTTCCTAGAGTCCCACAGCAAGCCCAGGAACTCCAGGGACAGCCTGGGGAGCAGACAGGTAGATGGTGGGATGTCCCGCGCTCGGCCTCGCCAGCAAGAACAACGCGGGGCACTTAGGATCCTTCTGCAGTAAAGCTTTAATGCCCCTTGGGAGAGCGAGCATCA